AATGGCCTCGGGGCCGCATGTGGCTGGTGGGCCGTAGTTTGGGGACGCCTGCTTTAGGGTCTTTGTCCAAAAGCATTGCTTTGAGGTTTGAGAATTCTTTTTTTTTTTTTTTTTTTTTTACATTTTTTATTAGCAATGCTAATAAAGACTCTTCAAGAATAATTCTAATATATGCGTGGGGATATGGCCTAGAGATCATCTGGCTTGATTCTATATCTTTAGGCTTGTGAGTATGTAAAACTATCCACGACACAAAGTTATCAAGTCTTTTTGTTTTGTTCTTTTTCCCCATTAAAGCACTCGAGGAACAAAGACCACTGCTTTGAAGCGTTTACTATTCTGATAGGTAATGTGCTCTTATAGTCACCTGAGGTTGTTTTTGTTCTGTGTACTTCTATGATGCTGATTAATTTTCAAAAGCGCAGTACAGAGAAAGGATACTCAACGTCATTAGTAACTAGGCACAAGTGAATTAAAATATGAGATACAGTCTGCCTTCTGTATCTGTGGCCTCTGTACCTGCTGATTTAACCAACCATGGATCAAAAATAATCCAAACAACAACAACAAAATACAAATGCAAAAATAGGGAATAACAACTATTTACATAGCATAATCTAGAAATGATTTAAAGTATATGGGATGTTGTGTTAAGGTTATATGCAAATGCTGTGCCATTATATACAAGGGACTTGAGCATCCTTGGATTTTGATATCTGTGGGGGGGGGTGGGGTCTTGGAATCAATTCCCCAAGGATACCAAGAAACTACTACTACATGCTTATTAGAATGGCTAAAATTAAAGAGATTGATTTTACTGAGTGTTGGTGAAGGTGTAGAGAAGCTGAAACTTCTATGCACTGCTGGTGGGAATGTAAAATGTTACACCACTTTGGGAAACTATTAGCAGTTCTTTAAAAGTTAAACATGGCTGGTTGTGGTGGTTCACACCTGAAATCCCAGCACTTTGGGAGGGTGAGGCGGATGGATTAAAAGGTCAAGAGTTCAAGATCAGCCTGGCCAGTATGATGAAACCCTGTCTCTACTTAAAATACAAAAATTAGCTGGTGGGCGCCTGTAGTCCCAACTACTTGGGAGGCTGGGGCAGGAGAACCGCTTGAACCAGGAGGCGGAGGTTGCCGTGAGCTGAGATCGCTGCCAAAGCACTCCAGGGAGGCGGGGCGGCAGTGGGCCAGGCTGGCAGGGGCGGGGCAAGTGGGGAGGGGTTGGGACTAGATCGGCAGGTGGGGCGGGGTGGGGCGGGGCCAGACCGGAGCTCCTTTACTGGGCTGGGCTTTCCCGTCCCCTCTTGGGCTCCCAGCCTTTTTGGATACAGAGTCTCATTCTGTCACCAGGTGCCAGGCTGGAGTGCAGTGGCACAATCTTGGCTGACTGCAACCTCCGCCTCCCGGATTCCAGCAATTCTCCTGCCTCAGACTCCTGAGTAACTGGGACTACAGGCGCGCACCACCATGCCCAGCTAATTTTTGTTTTGTATTTTTAGTAGGGACGGGGTTTCACCATGTTGGTCAGGGTGGTCTCGATCTCTTGGTCTCATTATCCACCCGCCTCGGCCTCCCAAAGTGCTGGGATTACAGGCTTGAGCCACCGCACCGGGCCTCCACCCTCTTTAAGAATGGAAGGTAGTCAAACATTAAATAGCCCAAACAAACTTCTCAGCCTCCCACCCTTCCCATAAAATCTTTTAGATCCATCAGTTGTCACCTCGCTCAGTCTTCCGTCTTCTCCTTTTCTACAACCCTTCCCCCCAACTCATGCTTCTTTTTCTCTTCCTTCTTCCTCCTCTTCAGTCTAAATCATACTTAACTCTTTTCTTAAGCCAGTTCCTGTTCCTCATCCTTTTGTTTTAGAGGACATATACGTGTTTGTATTTTGGTATTATTGTGTGTTCTGTCTAAATAGTAAAATTACTATCCAATCAGTTTCAAGTGATGGCTGCCGTAAATCTTAATATTTAATTTCTCCCCTTTCCCCTCAATTTCAAAGCCATAGAGCACAGTGATTAATAACTCTCAGGCCCAGGAGCCACCAGGCTGGATCTGAATACCAGCTCTGCCACTTACTAACTGTGTGACCTCAGGCAAGTTACTGAACCTTCAGTTCTGCCATCTGTAAACTGGAGATGCCAATAGTGTCTACATTCTATGATTTCTTGATGACTAGTAGGAGTACACCGTGTACTTTATTAGAACAGTGTCCGGCCTAGACCACTCAGTAGTTGTTATTTGTTTTACTGCAAATAGAAACATTTGGCAAGAAGTGTTGAGACAGATAGAGCTGGAAACGGCAATGGAGTGGACAGTGCTTGGTTAACCACATCAGAATCACTTGGAGGTAGCTCTAAAAATGCAGCTTTCTGAACCCGCCTGGGAGATTCTGATGGAAACCAGGAACCTGACTTTTTGCATCTGCTCCTCAGACTTGGATCGACAGCTAGGCTGGGGAACTATTGGCAAAGAAGAAAATGCCCTGCATTTGGAGTAAGGAGATCCAGGACTCTGGTGGTGTTTCTGCCAGTGACCCAATGTATGACTTCTGAGATTCCATTTTCTCATGTGTAAAATGCAGGTAACAAATTTGATGTGTTCATAGAGTAGTTGTGGGGGGTCACATTGCTGAAGTCGTTTCTGTGGGGGAAGCTGGCTTACTGGGGTGAAAGGAACACAGGCTTTGTAGTAAGCTGGACCTGGCTGTGAGTTCCATTGTGGAGGCTGCTGCAGATGTTGCTAGTTGCCAATTCTGGGTCCAGCCCCCTTTTCCTAATGCGTTTTGCTTGGTGTGTAACTGTGCTTAGCTTAAAATACTTCCTCCCAGACTTCCTTGCGGCTAGGGTGGCCATGGGACACAGTTCACTCAGCTGAGGAATTTCTGGGGAGGCTTAGCTTTCCTTTTTTTTTTTTTTTTAATCTTTTTTCTTTTGGAGACAGGGTCTTGCTCTGTAACCCAGGCTGGAATGCATTGGCACAAATATGACTCACTGTAGCCTTAAACTTCTGGGCTCAAGTGATCCTCTTACCTCAGCCTCCTGAGTAGCTGAGACTACAGTTGCATACCACCACACCTGGCTAATTTTTTTTTTTTTTTTTTTTTTTTGTAGAGGCAAGGTCTCACCATGTTTCCCAGGCTGGTCTCGAACTCCTGGGCTCAAGCAGTTCTCCTGCCTCAACCTCCCAAAGTGCTGGGATTATAGGCATGAGCCACCATGCAGCCTATTTTCTTGATATAGACACTTGTTCCTGTTTCTTTTTGCCCTATTGTCTTTCCCTTTTCTTACTGCCTGGAACATGGATGAAAGGTGTGGAGGAGGAGCAGCAGCTGTCTTGTTCCTATGAGAGTACAAATCTGGGAGGGCTGCCCACAGGCTGAGTATGACAGTGTGAGGAGATGAAAAGATTCTAGATTTCCAGTGGTGTCATCCAGCAGTGGCAGGCACCACCTCTGTGCTGCCCACCCCAAATGTCTTATATATATGAGACAAATCTCTAATTGTTTAAGGCAGAGGTAGTTTCTGTTGGTTATTTGTACCCTAAAGCTTCTTAGGGAGAATTTTTCAAAAAGCAAAGATCCTAGTACCATGTCTGACCCTGTGGACATTCATATATCTGTTTCACCTTCTCCAGCTATGAGACATTTTCTGCATTTGTACAGTGAGGCTTCTTCTAAATTCAATACCTTATTTTTAACTGACGATTAGGTAGACCAATTGGGCCCTTGGGGACTGGCCTTTGGAATAAAGGGTCCTTTATTTCAGGCCCTTCCCTGGGGGAGTTTGGGAAGGCAGTAGCACTAGTCTGTCACTCCCAAAATCCCACCAAGTGCCTCCACAGTGTGGAGACCCTATAGCGCCCTTACCTATGAAGACGTCTGCACCTCAATAAAATCGGATGTTAAAATCTTAGGCCAGGTGCGGTGGCTCACACCTGTAATCCCAGCACTTTGGGAGGCCAAGGCAGGTGGATCACAAGGTCAGGAGATGGAGACCATCCTGGCTAACATGGGGAAACGCCATCTCTACTAAAAATACAAAAATTAGCCAGGTGTGGTGGTGGGCGCCTGTAATCCCAGCTACTCGGGAGGCTGAGGCGAACTGCTTGAACCCAGGAGGCAGAGGTTGCAGTGAGCCAAGATTGCACCACTGTACTCCAGCCTGGGCAGCAGAGAGAGACTGTCTCTAAAAAAAAAAAACAAAAAAGAAAGAAAGAAAGAAAAAAGAAAAAAAAACCCTTCATGTGCTCTTGTGAGGTGGAGCATGCAAAATGTGAGTTCAAAAGACATGAAATTGCCCTTGCTCTGATGTAAATGTAAACGATGATTCTAAGTGGGACACACATTTGTGTGAAGGTAAGAACGAAAACTATTAACCTCCCACTCCCTCCTCCCCCAACACATAAACATTTCCCTTTATTTTCTCCGGTTGGAAGTACTTGAGTGTGAGTGTGGGCACTTGTATATCAGTGGGGACAGAAAGGAGTTTGTTTTCATGACCATTCTTACCTGCCCACAGCACGGCTTTTTTTAGGAGCAGGCTAATGCGTTTATGACCCGTGGGAATGCCGTGATTCACCCATGTCAGCTGCCCTCTCTGCCAACTGAATCCTGCAGGTCCCCATGGTCTTCCTGTCACTGACAGTTTGATCCCTTCCACCATTGCTGAATTCAACAGCACCTGAGTCAGGACTCTTGCAAACTTTACACATCAAAATATAGTGAATACAAAGGGAAAGTTGTTAAAAGCAAATGTATTATTCCTCCATTATTTAAAAAAAGATTGAATGGCAAAACGTTAAATCTCCTTTTACTACAAAAGTAAAGAAAATCATGCAATGAGACGATCCTGTTGGGCCTTCAGCGTAGCCACCCTCCGCTTTCTTCCCCAAGGCTCCCTGCAGTCCAGGGCAGGTTTTTGTCCTTGGCAGGCTGAGCTTTGTTCAGTCCCTCGTTCCTTCCTAGATCATAACACCCTGGATTTCTTAGCCCTTTCAGTCTGGTTCTTCCCTCATGGCCTTCACAAGCCAGTCCCGTTCTGTCCCCTGCTCAGAGTCACTAGTGTCACTCACCTCCATAGACAGCAGCTTTGAGTACTTGATTTTCCGCTCTTGGGGCAGCCTCCACTGTATGGACAGGAAAAAGGCCAACCAGAGCAACAGGACCACACAGCAGGCCTGGTAGAGCACAGCCAGGCTGAAGCGCATCACCACGAAGCCCCCGACAAAGCTGCCTAGGCTACAGCCACTCCTGTAAAAATGGCCTCGGAACAAGGCACTCAGAGCCCTCTCCATGCGGGGAGTGGTCAGGTCCTCTACTGAGGCCTCCACAGCCCACCACAGAGCCCCGTTGCTAATGGCACTCAAGATTTGAACAGGGAGGACAGACCACCAGCTCCAGAGGAAAGAGTAGTAGAGCAGCTGCCCAGCGAGGCAGCCCAGCCCCAGCCCCACCAGGCCTGCCCTGGACAGTTTCCTAAGCAATGTCATTTTGAACAGATGAAGCAGAATTTCCCCCAGCAAGCTGAGGGCAACCGAGAAACCCATGACCAGCTCGCTGCTCCCATGGTCCTTCATGTGCCAGAACAGAAAGTTCTGGACAGTACTGATGATGGCTCCTATCAAAACAACCGGTGGAGGTGAGGAGAATGAGGCGGGGGTCGCCCCCCACAATAGACAGTGCTTTGACGCTTTTGTAGCTGGGCTCCCACGGCCGATAGATGGGAATGGGAAAGGCAATGCTCACCAATAAGGTCAGGATGCTGACCACCGAGTAGCCATAGAAGTGGGCCACACCCTGGGGGCCACTGGTCATCAGGAAGCAGTCCAGCTGCCCCACCAAGGCTGCAATGCCACACACGCCTGCCGACATGCCCAGCAACCTCCAGACCGACAAGCTTCTGTATCGGTCAGTGGCATCAACAAAATCCAGGTACTCATAAAGGCTGTCATCTGCCACCTGCTCCAGAGGTGCTGTCAGCAGCTCCCAGAATGCCAAGGACCCCAAGGAGAGGATGAAAGTCCACCGCAACCCTTCCAAGGACAAGTCAAAAGCCCAGGGTTTCCCCTGGATCCCTGACAGATTGGCTGGATTTCTGGGCCCTTTCCCGGCAGGAAGCAAGGGGAGGGCAGTCTTGACCACCTCAAAAGTAACTTCCCAGGGATGACCTTTCAGCCCTGAAGTGTCAGGATGGAGGAGAACTTGGGATGTGGTCCTAGCTCCTTCTACAGAGAGTGCTAAGTAGCTGCGAAGATCACCGAAAGTTTCTTGGTCACTTTCACCAGGTGGCTTTCTGAAGCTAGGCACCTCCACCTCTCCGGTCATCTTGGCTAGGTGGCTAGAGGCAGGCTCTTGGGCCGAGGTGATGTTCACAGGTAGTGTGACCCTCAGTAGTGTGTCTGTGCTGGTCACGCTGCTGCTTCCATTACAAGGGAGGTGCACCCGATTTTTGTCTGCCAGTGGAACCAGGATCATCAGCAGGCTGGCCCCCACGGAGCCGAGCAGGGAGCCCATCAGAAGTGTTCTCCGTTTCCGGTAGCTTTTGGCCAGGATGGCACAGACGGGAGCCCAGAAGGCAGCGATCAGGTGCTTGGTTCCCATTAGGATGCCCACCCAGGGCGCGGCCAAGCCCAGCTGCCTCAGGTAGAGGGTCAGGAACGGGGTCACGCAGGCTTCCCGGACCCCGCACAGCAGGTGAAAGAGTTTGGCCACCCCCAGCGCCCTGCTGATGTCCCATCGGGGGTTGGCGCTCATGGCTGCCCGGCTCCTTCAGGCCTGGGCCGACAGAGGGCGGAGCAGGGCGCAGGGCGGGCGCGGCCCCTTTTTCCCGGGAGGGAGGCTCAGGGGTCGGGGCTCCAAGCGAGTGGGACTGCGGCCCGGACCTGGGGCAGCGTCACGGTCACCAGGTCAACGCCCGCCCCCAGCCAACGCCCTCAGGTCCTCCCGCCCGGAGGGAGAGGAGCGATGGGGGCGGGGGTGTGGGTGGGGCCGGCGTTCCGCGAGCCGCACCTGCCACGTCCCGCCGCCACCGCGGGCCACCTGCCCGGAAGTTCGCAGATGCGCAAGGGGCGCGTCCCGGAGCCTGCATGGTGCGCTCTGAGCCCCTGCAGCCATCCTCCTCTGGCTGCCACTGTAGCCCAGGAGCCTGGGCTTAACACCTGTACTGCTTCAGGCAAATAAAAGCGTCAGAGTCGGCCTGCGGGGAGCCAGAATGGATTGCATGGCATCCACCAGGCTCTCTCCCTCATCATCTTCAGGTCTTTACCCCGATCAGTGACCAACAGCTGACACCGCAAATCCCATAACCCTGTCCCCACCCTGCCCACTACTTTGTCTTTCTCTCTAGCACTTTTCACTGTCCAAGGCACTACAGGTTTATAGTTTACGTGTTGACCTTGTTTATTGTCTGTCTTCACCAGAATCCAAGCCCCAGGAAGGCAGGTATTTTTGATCCCAGGGCCTAGAATGGTTTCATTGGATGCGTGCTGCCCTCGGAAGTGGCATGACCTTGGGTGACACGGTTGTCTCCAGCTGGGAAAATCCCTAAGGAGGGCTGACAGCTGATGGCAGTCGTCCAAGGACACTCCTTGCCGCGGACCTGCCAGCACATGGCAGCCCCCAGAACCTTATGTATGTGCTGCTTAGTTTTAATCTACACCTAAGGGTGCTCACGTGCCCTGTATGAGAGTACACACAGCTGAGGTAGTTAGCTAGCCTTTCATCAAAAACACAGAGCTAAGACAAGCACTTCATCTTAAATCAACAGAAGTGTCTTCACTAATGAACATAATAGATATTATAGTTTTTTACTGGTGAAATTAGTGGTGTCCAAGTCACCTGGGTTGGGTATAATTTTTCTGAAAGCATTTCTTCTCTTGCTGGAACAAGATATAATAATCTAGAGATTCCGGTAGTCCAAACCCTTTGGAAGGATGCTGTAGGGTTTGCTTCAGAATGGTCCAGTGTACAGCCCCTGATTCAGTAAGCTTTTCGTACAATGCTTGCTCAGAGCACCTAATTTGGCTGGAGATGGAGCAGAAGTACTTGGCAGTACATGTCTGTGTGTTATGGAATTCGATCTATGACTTGCCTTCATTGTCAGCTGGTACACAGTATCTTGGGGAGGAGGCCAGGGGCCTCACTTAACCTAAATAACTGGTAAACGTGCAGATGTCTACTGAAACCTAATGACTGAATGATCAAATTGGTATGAATCTGTTTACGTCATGCCAGTGGCAGAAAAAATAAAATTTAGTCTCCTCCAGGTAAACTCACTCTAATTCAATGCTACTGCAATCATTTCAGGTATAAAACCACCTCAGTCACACCGATGATAGTCCCTAGTCCCGCCCTTCCCTGGGTCCTGCTGTGGACAACCTCAGTGGAGGATATCACATCCATCTACTTCTCAGTCCTGACCTGTCCTGGGTTCATGTCCACTGGGAGGCAGGTGTCAGACTCCAATGTGCCTGGACATGTGCAGGTGTGTGAGGGGCATGTCCTGGGGCCTGCAGGGTGCACCCCAAGCTAGACCATGGGCCCTGTCCAGCCTCTGGCTGCTGGTGTTGCCCAGGAACTTGGGCTAAACACCTGGATTGCTTCAGGCAAGTAAAACCATCAGAGTCAGGGTGGGGGCAGTGAGAATGGAGTGAATGGCATCCACCAGGCTCCCTTCCTTACTACACCATGCTGGTGTCTGTGAAGGTGCCCACGATACTGCACCTGGCCTTCAGGCGCCATGCTTCACACTGCTGCCTGAGAAAATCTTTGCCTGCTGCCCATGTCCCATATAGGCGCAGGGACTCTCTAAGGCTGCCCTTGGGCCCCTATGCCTCTGCACCCCAGGTGGTCCATCTTACACTCTCCTTGGCATTGAGAATGTGTCCTGCCATTGAGACTTGCTTCCACTCCTGGGGCAATGAGGCCCAAGGCAAAGTGCCCTCTTCTCTATTCTTGGATTCCCAAATTAAAAGGGAATCTTCTACCACCCTCACCTTACCCCCATGCCCACCATCATCCCCTGGCACTCCGTCTAGGTGCTAGGACTCAAGCCCAAGCATTTTGTCCTCTCTGTTTCTTTCCCCTGACACCATACCTATTTCTGGGGATGAGGAAACTAAAGATGTGTCATTGATCTATTTTAAACCTGGTTGTAGGTTTTTGAACATAAAAGCCAAGAATTTTTGACGTATTTAATCTCTGGCCTGGCCAGTGTGGTGGCTCACACCTGTAATCCCAGCACTTTGGGTGACTGAGGTGGGAGGCCGAGGTTACCTATGTTCCTGGGCAACAGAGGAAGACCTCATCTCTACCAAAAAAAGCCTCCAAACAACAAACAAAAAAACCCCCAAACCTAGTAGGGCATGGTGGCATGTGCCTGTGATCCCAGCTACTTGAGATGCTGAGGTGGGAGGATCACTTGGTCCCTGGAGATCAAGGCTGCAATGAGCTGTGATGGTGCCACTGCACTCCAGAGCAGTGACAGAGCAAGCAAGAGGCAGGAGACAGAACATACCAGATTATGCTTCACAGAACTCTTACCTGGCCCAAGTGGACTCAGTAGGTTATATAAAGGACTGCCCTGATGATTCCTGTTAACATATAAATATTGCCAGGTATGAGATGAAAGCAGAAGGATTTCAGTGTATGTTTATTGAATCTGACATTTTTCCCCCACCTGATAGAGGCCCTTGCCTGGGCTGGGTGAGGTGGGCAGTGGCCTGAGAGTGGGAAGGGAAGAAACTTGGGAGGGAGGCAGTGCCATTGCTGTTCCCTGCTTCCTATTTTCCCCTAGGACCACAGGGCTCTGGTCAAAACAGCAGCTCTAACCCTGGTTTTAAGGGCTGGGTGGGAAGCTTGAGTGGGAGAGGACAGTGGGAGAAGTGGGAATTAAAGCTAAATGAAGGAGTAGCCATTTGTGTGAGAAGCTGGGCTTGGTGTGTGTGTTCTCAAGCAGCTGTGGCATTGCCCAGGCCATCCGTAGGCCTCCGTGTGAGCCCTTCTTCATCACAGTCCCCACAGCAGGCTCTCTGTGCTCCCAGACGCTCGCTGGCACCTGGTCAAGGCCAAAGCTGCCCCGCAGAGCTGGGCCTTGCTCTGGCTGTAGGTGTAAGTGTTTGGGGTTGATGGGGTAGTATATCCTTCCTTCTGGGCCTGCTGTCCCCGCAGGCTCACTGGACAATGCCAGAAAACGTGTTGATAGGCATCAGCAGGGGTTTGGGCTTGGCTTTGGTCGTTTCCATCTCCTTTTCCCCATGTGAATTGAGCCACGGCGCCTTGGACTTCTGGGCCCCAGAACATGGTTCTGGGCAGGGAGCGACCTCGAATCTGTGGGTGGAGAGAGACTAGCTCAGGTGACCCGTCTCAGGGATCAGATCTGCCCAGGGCATCTGAAAGGCAGAGCCGTTATTGTAGGGCATAGAGGAGGCGGCCATGCAGAAGAAAGAGGAAGAGTTTGGATGAGAAAGAACAACCTGGGCCTGGGAGGAGACGCCTGAAGCAAGTGACTCTGTGTATGCCTCCCTTACCCCAACACACCTCCTGAGGGGAAACCAGTAAGGGTCGGCTAACTGGGACACAGTTGCCATAGAAGGTCAGCCTGTGTGGTAGGGGCCCATGCCTACAGAGGGGGCTGGATCAGGAGGCTGCAGGCTGAGTATATGCAGAGGCATCTGGAGAAAATGCAATTATCTGCTGCTGCCCTGAGTCAGCCATTCATTTGCCTCAACTTCCTGGATCCAAGGCACAGGGCAGTGGCCTCAGCCCATGCTCACCAGGGACACCTGCCTGGCCACAGGCTCTGCCTCCAATGAGGTGCCTTGAGCTAGAGGCAGGAGGTGGCAGGAACTGGCACCTACTTTGGTTTGTCCCATTGACCCTGGAACTCTTAAGGGTGGCAGGCCCAGCCTCACCTGACCACATCCCTGAAAGTGCGTTGATCATCCTTGTCCAGTGACAATGTCAGCAGCCTCTGGTCCTGGCTCTGGATCTGGATATTGTTTGTCCTGAAGGTGTTGGTCACTGTCTGCAAGGGAGAGATGGCGTGCATGAGTGTGGCCTTGGCTCAACAGGTAGCCCTGCCAACATCTCCTACCCTGGAATCTGGTGTGTTTCTTCAGTTTAGAACATGGGGTCCCCAGCTCCCCACCTGCAAGTGGCTGAGTAGTGACAACCCTGCACAAATTGCTTCTAGGCTTCCCATGCCCTTGGATCTCACATAGTTTTTTCAATCTTTTCCCAACCTGTTGTCCTTGATTTTGAACACAAATGTTACGGAATGTGGTGGCTAGTGCTTGCCAGGTTGTCAAGTTGCCTGAGCTTGAGTGTTGATTTCTTCAACATTTTCCGAGCACCTCCTATATGACCGGCATGTTAACATGTGTGGAATTTGGGGGTATTTCAGGAGTTTTAAAAGTCTTGACCCCAGTTCTCAGCACTAAATCACATACATTATTTACGTGCAGCAGACATAGAGGGTCTAGAAAGCAGCCAAGGACCCCATGCCTCAGACCAGGCCAAAGGAAAGCACCCCCAGGCACCCTTATAACTCCTGACCTGAGGGAGTAATTCCAGAGAGGTCTCCTCCCACTGGCAGAGAACTTGGAGCATTGTGGGTTCCAGGTGGAGTGTTCAGAGGTTGTGGCTCATTCCACACACAGACAGCAGCTTTGGGAAATTTATAACCACAGAACCCTGGAGTTGCCAGAGGCCTTGGAGACCATCTCGTTAAAGTGTTCCTAACCCTGGCTGCCCGTAAGAATCAATTTTCAAAAACATAGTATTGGCCTGGCATGGTGGCTCACACCTGTAATCCTAGAACTTTGGGAGGTGGAGGTTGGTGGATCACCTGACCTCAGGAGTTCAAGACCAGCCTGGGCAGTGTGTCGAAACCCCGCCTGTACTAAAAATACAAAAAAATTAGCTTGGCATGGAAGCATGAGCCTGTAGTCTCAGCTTTTGGGAGGCCAAGGCAAGAGAATCACCCAGGAGGCAGAGGTTGCAGTGAGAGATCGTGCCATTGTACTCCAGCCTGGGTGACAGAGCAAGACTCTGTCTCCAAAACAAAACAAAAAACCATAATAGCAGAGTTTCTGATTTAAGTGGCATGGAGTTGAGCCCAGGCATGGGGTTGAGCCCAGGCATGGGCATTTTTTAAAAAGCTCCTGCATGTAGGCAGGGCTAAGAACAACTGCTGAATTTTTCAGCGTCACTTAGGAGAGACAGACAGCTTAAACTAGGGGTTTGTGCATGCCCAGGAATTTTGGCTGAACTTTTAGGGGGTGGAGGTAGGCCAGCCAGAAGTCTAGTGGACAGGGTATGCAGGATCTGCTGGGAGGAGGGTAAGAGCATAGTCTCTAAGCCAGGCTGCCCAGGCTCTAATCCTGGCTCTGCTACTTATTAGCTGTGTGACCTTGAGCATGTTTCTTAATCTCTCTGTGCTACCTTTTAGGATTGTCGTGAAGATTAAGTGAGACCGTATCAGGCATCCCCAAACTACGGCCCACGGGCCGCATGCGGCCCCCTGAGGCCATTTATCCGGCCCCGCACTGCACTTCAGGAAGGGGAACCTCTTTCATTTGTGGTCAGTGAGAGGAGCACAGTATGTGGCGGCCCTCCAATGGTCTGAGGGACAGTGAACTGGCCCCCTGTGTAAAAAGTTTGGGGACGCCTGCCATATATATTAAGTGCGTGGAACAGAGCCCAAGACCCTATTAAGAACTCTTTATTAATTATAATTTTCTAAGAAGGAGCCAAGCATGACTAATGGACTCAGTGATGAAGTCTCAGGTGTCAGAGGGGAAGGGGAAGCTACTGTGGGTTCTTTCTCTTCTTGGTTTGTCCCCTAGGCCAAGCCCCCACCTATCACCCCACTATTTATAGACTCCTGTGAGTCTGAATGGGTGAGCTGTGAGTAAAGACAGATTTACCAAAACCTCTGTAAGATGGGGTTTGATAGTCCAGGAAATGAGAAAAGAAATGAGCCATGTATAGAAATTGAGGACAGAGGACTCCAGGACAGAAGGTAACACACAGAGGAGAGGAGCCTTCTCCCCTGCTGCCAACACAACCTGTGGCAGCTTGGCAGGGCACAGTGGCTCATGCCTGTAATCCCAGCACTTTGGGAGGCCCAGCGTAGGCAGATGACGTGAAGTCAGGAGTTTGAGACCAGCCTATCCAACATGGTAAAACCCTGTCTCTACCAAAATTGCAAAAAAATTAGCTGTGCATGGTGACAGGCATCTGTAATCCCAGCTACTTGAGAGGCTGAGGCAGGAGAATCACTTGAACCTGGAGGTGGAGGTTGCGGTAAGCCGAGATTGCGCCACTGCACTCCAACCTAGGCAACAGAGTGAGACTGTCTCCAAAAAAACCAAAAAACAAACCAACCCTTTTAAAAGCACCTTTAGTGCTCTGGAGCCGTCAGCCGCAGTGGGAGGTTGTGGTCAGAGGTTCAGGCAGTGAAACCTAGTGGACATTGACTGGACAGTTAATGGAATGATAGTTGTTACTGGAATGCCACTCATGACCTTCTAGAAATTCTTGGAGAGACTGCAGGAGGCTGAAGTCCTGCATGAGCCGGGGGTGGGGGAAGCCAGGTGTTTTCTGTTTGCTATAGTTAATGGAATTGCACCTAAACTGATTGCAGCTAGTGAGTGAAATGCATGGTTTCCTTAGGTTAAAAGACTGGAGCTTGAATATGACCCACTGAAGCCTGCACAGTGGTTGCTATGGGGGCAGCACTCTGACTCTCAACTTGGTGTTCCTTCTTTAGCATCAGGCTGCTCTAGGTGTCTCTGGCAGGATTTGGGCCCACATGACCTGGCCATGGAGTTGGCCCCCACTTCTAGGTAATCATACACTGTCTCTGGGCTTGCTCCCACCTGCCTGCAGTGTAGGCAGATGCCTTTTATTTCCCTTTGTGGTCTGCACACCTAGCCACACCCTACCTGCTTGGTTTTGGCCCATAAGGACCACAAGAGTTTTAGATTTTAGTCTATAAATGCAGCCATGGAAGCCAGCAGAAAGGACCAGATGCAGAATTTGCAAAGGATTCTGCTCTCAGTAAGATGAAGGAATGGGCAAAGGGTTGCTAATTGTTTCCTGTTCTCTGTTGGTGGCAACCAGTTTTCCATAGCTAAAGCCCCACCCAGTTCTTCTGTTTCTGCTTTATTTCCCACTTATCTTCTATTTCAAAATTCCAGTCTAGCTAAGGTCATATCTGACCCTTAAACTTACTGAGCCAGCCACAATGGCCTTGCCCCCATACCGTTCTTCATACTGTCTCCTGCCTTCTTTCTCACTCCAGCTCACCGTGACCTTCCCCTTACTGCTTAGTGGTTATCATCCAGTCCATTTGTACAAAACACACATGTAGGACCTGCCTGGTTCCGAGAGGAAAGACAGCTACTAGAATTTTCCCCTAGTAGGGTCCATGTAGGGATCAAAGGGAACTTGCTGAAGTGATAAGTTTAGATTTTCAAAAAGCCCCTGACCAGGTGGTTTAAAGAGGTCATTAAAAACAGAAACCACTTTAAGGAACTGACTTTGAAAGAGGAAATGCAACAGCAAGGTAAATAGGTCCACCTTGGAACCTAAAACTTAAATACTGGACTGCTCTATGAGAAGACAGAGTTTAGCTCAGGGCAGATGTCTCAGCCAATCAAAACTCTCCTACGGTGGATAGGCTGCCTCAGAAAGAGTGAGTTTCCAGTTCTGGCATGAGATCAAGGGCAGACTAGATGACTCAACAAACATCTGGTGAGGCCCTACTGCAGGCCAGACACCACACCAGCTAAGATGAGGGTCCAGAGCCTAGGGAGCTTCCAGGTCATTAACATACAAAGATCATGCCATTTTTCATGTCACAAGTGTTTCCATGGCTGTGTCTGCAGGGTCCTATGGGGGCTAGCATGGAGGTGGTGCACTTAGCTCACCTGGGTGAGGGGAGGAGGCTGGAGATGTGGAAGGAAGGGGGAAAAGCATTAGGAAAGGCCTCCTGAGAGAGATGACACTGGAGTCTCAACTTGGAGGATGAGTAGGAATTATAAAAAGAAGGTGGGGAGGTGGAAGGAAGGAATGAGGTTTCAGGTCAGGCAAACCAGCATGAGCAAAGGCACAGAGATGTGCCTTTAGGAACACATCCAAACAAATGGTGGGAAGGGCCTGCAGGGGGTCCTCAGAGCTGCAGATGGAGAAGCGGTGGAGTGAAGCTATGCAACACTGAAGAGTTTTTCTGTCCTTGGAGAATGGGAGATGATGGAAGGGTTTTAAGGATGGAATATCATGGACAGGAAGATGGACTTGAGGATGAGATATTGCCAGGGAGACCAACTGGAAGGGGATAGATGAAGGTCAGACTTGGGGTGACCAACTTGCTTGACTTGCCTGGAACTTTCCTGGTGTTAGCACTCCAAGTCCCAAGTCCAGGAAACCCCTTTAGTCCCAGGCAAACTAGGATAGTTGGTCAACCAAGCTGGACAAGAAGATAGAAGACAGACAGGATGGGAGAGATTTGAGAAGTGTTCCATCAGCACACAGGAAAGTGAGGAAGATGAGGCAGCAGGGATGACTCCTGGCTTTCTGGCAGAGGTGATTGGTTAATGATGGTACCATTAAATGCAACAGGGGATATATAAAGAGGAGATGAAATAAAAATTACTGCTAACACATACATAATGTTTACTTAGCCAAGCACTCTTCTAAGAGCTTCGTATGCCACAATCAATCCTCATAACTGGATGAGGTAGGTAATGTTATTACAGTTGGCCCTCCATATCTGCATATGTGAAACCTGTAGATATGAAGGGCCAACAGTAAGGGACTTTAGCATCCATGGATTTTTGTATCCTTGAGGGTCCTGGAAACAATCCCCCATGGATACTGAGGAACAACAGTCTCCCCATTTTACAAAATAATACTGAGTCACAGAGAGATTAACTTGCTTAACATCATATAGCTGGTAAATGGCAGAGGTAAGATCTGAACCCAGACAATCTGGCTCCAGAGAGCTCTTAACTATTGGAA